ATTTTCTCATATCTGAAATAATTTAAAAAGATAATAAAATACAGGAAAAAATTTTAGAAAAAAAAATCGGTGAGGTTTTAGGTCAAGTTCAGTACAGTGTATATACAGTTCAGGATTGGCAATGTAACCAGTCTATTAAAAGTAATTCTGCTTAATTACTTGGGAACTAGCATTTTATTTTTTCCTAGTTATTGTTATGTCACATCCCTTTTTCCTGCTGAGTTACAAGTTTCTTAAGAATGTTCATATTAGATTCCATAAATTTGCAGTCATTTTCATTTAGGGACACCACTTATTTCAATATTTACACTGATTCTGAAGAGAATATTAGAGTCTCTAAAGAGAGTGTATGTCCTCACTCACCCCCCGCTATTCCAAATCTCTCTCTGTCTTTCTCTCATTTCTCTTATCCTGCTGACACATGGGAGGAGTAAGGCTATAGCTGTTCTCTTTGGCTGACCACTATTGGCTAGCTCTCTGACTTGAGAATATTTTTAGCATATTATTGTCCCTAGTTTGAGCTATAAAATTCAAGAACAAAGATAAATTCCTTTTAACATTGTTATAGTAATAAATGTGTGTTGTTGTTGTTGTTTTTTTCATTTTGTTTGACCTTCTACCTACCACCTGTTAAAAACACAATGCTGAAATAATTTTTCCCCCATAGGTAAGAAAAAAAATTTTGAGTAAATTAACAGAAGAAACTAAAGTAGTCCTCACAAAACTTCATAGCTCCTTGAATGAAAAGGTAAGTAAGATTTGATTTTATTTAGATATATATTGGAGCTAGCATTTGTGATATTTGAATAAATTTTTTAAAAATATAATTATGAATTAAGTCTGAAACTAGTATTTTGCATTCAGATATCTTTTTGGGAGGTGAAGGGGGAGAACAAGCTAGGGGCAATTTACCCTCTTTTAAGTGCTAAGTCACAATTTCACATTTAATGACAAAATAACCTTTTTTTTAAAATGCCTTTAGGGTATAAAATTATAAAATAGTATTAAACGGCTGTATTTTCTTTAAGTAACTTATATAAAAGTTAATTATGGTACTTAACACCTTTTCAGAGCATAGAAGACTTTCTTTCTTGTCTGGATTCTGCAGCAGAAACTTGTGATATTATGGTGAAAAGGGGAGACAAAAAAAGGGAAAGGTAACACTGAATTAATCTCTTATTAATAAACTAGAGGTCTGGTGCACAAATTTGTACACAGATGGGGTTCTTCTGGGTGGCCTGTGGGGATCGGGCCTAAATCTGCAGTCCAACGCCACCTGCAGCTCCCACCTGCTGCTCTCACTCATGCCAGCCCCACTGCGCCTGCTGTGGGCTCATGCCCAATCAGTCCCAATCGGGGGAGTCTCGCACAGCCACAGTGGTGTTTGCCAGCCGTGAGCCCTACATTTGACACCCTTCCAAGGGAAGTGGCCTGCGGGATCAGGCCAAAACTGGCTCTCCGACATTCCCCAAGGGGTCTCGCATTGCAAGAAGGTGCAGGCCAGCCTGAGGGACCCCATCAGTGCACATCGGGGCTGAGGAGGGACTGCAGGAGGGCTCTAGGGCATGTCCTGCCCACGTCACCCAGTCTTGATCAGGGCTGATTGGAGCCGGCTGGCCCGGGAGGGACAGGGAGGTTGGCCAGCCGGGGAGAGACCAAAGAAGGGCTCCAGAGCATGTCCAGCCCATCTTGCTCAGTTCCAATCAGCCAGACCCCAGCAGCAAGCTAGGGGTCAGTGCATGTCATAGCAGCAAGATGGTCAGTGCATATCATAGCTACTGGTTGACAGGTTGATTGTCTGCCCCCTGGTGGTCAGTGCACATCATAGTGAGTGGTTGAGTGGTCTTAGCATACATTAGCATATTACGCTTTGATTGGTTGAACAGTTGACCAGTCACCGGATGACCAGACACTTAGCATATTAGGCTTTTATTATATATGATTCTTAGATGTATTATATCTGAAATTGGAATTTGACTATCTGAGTCTTATATGGAGAACTGTTGTGTGTAAATTGTTGTACACCTTGAAGCATTTTGGTCTTAATAAACTTCAGTGTTCCTCTGACTCATCTTGATAAGGTAGCAGAGTTGTCTAATCCCATAGTTCAAGCCTGGCAACTTTTTATTAGGTTTGTGACTTTCTTTACAGGAAACCTATTTAAATCAGTGTTCTTTCGTTTGATCCCCTGCAACTCAAAATCATACTTTGAATGAACTAGCTATATTGTTTTTTTTTTTTCTATCTTTTTCTAACACATTAGTTTATTCGTGCCATTTAGAGTTATAAGTATCTGAATCCCATATTTAAAAAGGTCCCTTCAAATATTTATTTAACTAGATAATTAAACTAGAGAAGTTAAAAATGAATACAGAAGGGAAGAACTGAAATTAGTGAGAATTTGTGTGTTTTTATTTTTGTTTAGACAGATTCTGTTCCAGCATCGACAAGCACTGGCTGAACAGCTAAAAGTCACAGAAGACCCTGCTCTTATCCTGCATCTCACATCAGTTCTGTTGTTTCAGTCCTCAACCCACAGCATGCTCCATGCACCTGGAAGATGTGTCCCACAGATCATCACTCTTCTTAAGAGTAAAATTCCAGAGGTATTACATTTTCAATGCTCTTGGAACTTTTAAAACTTTTAGATTGCAAATATTCTTAATGGATAGATGTGAATCATTGTGACACCAAGACAAATTCATCTTCCTGTTTCCACAAATGCAAACAATGAATTAGGAGATTGATTTTAAGGATACTCTTTTAGGATCCTATCTGATCCATGGTAAAGAATATTTTGAATTTGAAAATTAAGCTTTTGGAAAAGTTACAATAATGTTCAGTCTTTCATCTCAGCTTATTCAGATTTAACCTGTGCTTCAAGGGCCTCTTAAAATTCTTCATAAATTCTGCATAAATTCTTCTGAGAAACTTCTCAACTAAAAGTAACTTCGGCTTCTTTGAACTTCCATATCACTTCGATTATATCTTTGGTGATAGAACCTAGCCAAATTAACTATTAAAATAACCTGCATTCGTGGTTTTTGTCTCCTAAAATGTAAACTTCGTGAGAGCAAGGACCTTGAAATTCAGCTTTCTATTTACATGGCCAGTGATTTGTAAAGATGAAGACCTTCAGTGTATATTGGTTGAACAAATCCTACTTTGTTCCACAAAAATTAAATCATGTTTGTTAGCTTTTCTTCTCTCTCTTTTCACAGGACCAGCATACACTTTTGGTAAAATATCAAGGACTGGTTGTAAAGCATTTAGTTCATCAGAATAAGAAGACTGGGCAGGAAGAGGATTCCTTGAGTGATGAATTAGACAATGAAGAAGAAGATAGCACCAGTACTACTCGTAAAGAGCTTCAAGAACTTTCTTCATCCATTAAAGACCTTGTTCTCAAATCCAGGAAATCATCTATGACAGAAGAGTAATGAACTTAATTTACTTTTGCCATGTAGTAAACATTTCCCTCCAAAGTTATTGCTGAGTTATAAATAATGTTTATTTCACAATCTCCAGCCTCCCATTAGCCCACAATTTAGTTAAAACTGTAGTGTTGTATTCATTGTAAATTTTATAAATATGTGAATTTTTGTAAATTGAGTTCTCCATAGAAGATTTCTTTAAACATTATAATTCTAAAAATTATACATTTATTTTCTTTTCATGTACTGAATGAAGAATAAATTTTCTGATGTCTTTCATTTCTAGGAAAGGTTTCATTTTGTTGTGTTGTTATAGTTTGAGTGACATTATCATATTTTTACATTATAGGCAGAAATTTAAGATGTAGTCATGTTTTTTAAAAGAGAAAAATATCCCTCTGCTTTCACAAGTGAAAATTGTGTATTTTATTTTAAAGTCATTATAAAATGCTACAAAACTAATAGAAATTTGCAAAATATTATTTTATTGCTGAGCCCTTGCTCTTATTTCTGTCGGATAGAGGTTCTTCCATCTTCCCCACAGGAGAAATCTTTAGGGATGCTTTTACAGCTTCAGGACATCTGAGTGACTCATGTGTTCCTGTGTTCTATTCTAAAACAAGATGCTAACAAGAGTAAGAAAGAATAAAATTTGCTGCTAATAGGTATGTCAGAAGTTATCAATGGAATAACTAAAAGTGTTATGCAAATATTTTTCCTATGTCATTTATTTAATCAGTAGTCACTCTAGAAACTAATACTTTGTTGTGGAGAGATTTCTAAGTGCATTTACATCACTGCAAACTTTTAAAAAAATAAAAATAAAAACCCTTATAAAAAAAAGTAGGTATTCTTGTTTTCCTAAAGATTATTAGTAATTAAAACTAATTAAATTAATCAAGCTAATTAAAACTAAAATAGTTCCTTGGAGTAATCATTTTAATCTAAGCAACAATTTATTATGTATCAAAAGGAATTTATTTTGAATATAATAGTAAATTAAATCTCAAATATTAAAAAGTACTGTTGTATATAATTCCTTGTGTGGCATTTAAAATTATATGTTTTAAAATGTTTGAATACAAAGATCAGTCTACCTACCTCTACTCTAATTCTGGATAAAGTAATAGTAACTGATTGAAAGGAATTATATATTTAGACAATTATTATTATTAAAGTTGATAGGAATGTAATGTAAATTTTAAAATGTTTTTCCATTGGCATTTTTTATTAATATATTTTCAGAAAAATGAAAATCAACTGACCATGAACCCCATTAGTTTTATGTGCTTATGCAGCTTTCAAAATATTGAACACACGACATATTCTTTTATTCAGTCTTTGCGTAAGGACTTTATCATTTGTTTTAGCAGATACCAAAGTAATCTTTGTTTTTGTCAAACCAGAGAGTAGTTTGTGAAAATAAAAATCTTAATTTGTGAAAATAAAAATGAAAAATATAATGAAGCAAATAAAAAAATCATTCTTTGTAGGCATTAAATATTTTTCATTTATCAAAATAGTTCTTATTTTTTCATAGTAAATAAGAACAGCTTTGTTTTTGTAAATAAATTATATGGCTGATTTTTTATGTAAAAATCTAATTTGTTAATTAAATTGCTAAATGTTTACTATAATATGATCTTCATTGGGAAATTGAAGAATCTTATTTAAAATAAAATTGCCTGTTGTTTCTATTAAATATTATGGTACTTTAAAGCTTTTATTATTTTTATTATTACTAGTTCAATTAATGCATATATTATATGTATTTATATTTTTAACTGTTATTCTGAACATTTTAAACGTAGTTTAATCTGTTTTTTTTTAATATAAAAAGTTTCATAGTCCTCAGTGTCCTTTATTCCTTGAAACTTTGCCATTTATGAACCATTTCACCATAGTAAACCTTTTCATTGAGCTGGATTTCAGCATCAGACTAACAGGTTACAAGTGGGGAGAAGAAGAAGAGGTTTATCTGGGACTGAGTTTGAGATGCCTGGGAATCTCTAAACAAAGATGTCCAATAGACAACAGGGTACAGGCCTAGAATCTTTGAGAGTGGTAACAGTTGAGAACAAAGGGTAATAACAGTTTGGGAGTCATAATACATAGTTGTTTGTTGTTGTTACAACCCGTAGAGGGTGTACAAAGAAGCATTCTGAACTGAGCATGAAGCTCTGGGCAATGATTAGGTGAAAAGGGGGAGGAGCCTGAGTAAGAGCTAGGAGGAAATAAAAAACAATATAACTTAGTAAATCAAGAGAAGAGAATTTCAAAAAGAAATAAACATAGCCAGAGATGAGAAATTTCTGGCGAGATGAAAAACAGTGCTCTTTGGAGTTGTTAATATCTTTTATGAGCTTAATGAAGCATTTTTCTTTTTTCTTTTTTTTTTTTTTTTGTGAAGTGGTTCAATTGGAAGATAGATTGCAATATCTTGAGGAGTAACAGGAAGATAAGAAATGGAATCAGTGAATGTAGATTACCCTCTCAGAAAGCTTAGTGTAAACAATGAGGGTAATGGCCCCATAACTACAATAGATGGGGACTTGGGCATTTGTATATCCTAGACTCCACTTCCTCATTTATGAAAGGAGAAAAATAAAGCCTGGTTAGTATTATCATGAGGATTAAAATTTATTACTAATTTAATGCTGTTGTGTCCTTTTCCTAGCTCAAGTTTTTTTGGTTTTTTTAATGTTGTATTTCTGTTTTTTCTTTTTGTACATACCTGAGTTTGACCTCAGGAAATACTAACTATTCCTTTAGCACTTAGAACAAGGACAGTTTAAGTTTGGTCTGGGAATTAATGTAATGAAGGCAAAATATTTCTTATCCCACCTTACACACTAAAGAAATGGCCTCCAATCGAGATTATAGGAGCAAATGCCACTTGCTTTGTGAGTCAGTTTGACTCACGAAGAGTTCCTGTTATGGATTACTTCAACATTTAAACATTTCTTTAAATTCAATTCTTGAAATTTCTTGCCACTTTTCATGTTTTGAATTGAAGATTTCAAAAAGCCAAATGAGCCTGTGCTTAAAAGGACATGACATAACAATCGCTGCCAGCTCATAGGGACATAGGCAGAAACAGGGAAAGCTCAGTCCACACTGCAGGTTGCAGGAAGCAGGTAACAACCTTGAGTTACTCTATCAAATTCAAGGCTTGGAGTTCCCAGATTTCCTAAGAAGACAGTGATAGAGGCCACAACCAAAGGCTCATCTCAAGTTACCAACTCTGCAGGTGAGACCAGGAAAGCTCTGTGGTTCAGCCATTTCTTTTGTGTAAAACAAGGGTTCTGTTAGTCACCAGGAAACAGAACCAACAAAATGGATTAATCAAAGAAACAGAAAATACATTATCCGCTTAAAAAAAATACATTATTTTTAAAATTTGAATGTGCCTAGGCAGTGAGAATTTCTTGAGTGTGTATGTGTGGTTTGTATTTTAAACTTTTTGGAGCTTATCCAGATCCTACTTCACATACAAATCCAGGATTGCCCTTTAAGGATGTCCTGCACAGAACTTACTACTTGTAATTTTAAGTAAAACTTGACAAGGAGTACTTTTTCAGCCCAGTAGGAGTCAGCTCTGTGCACGTCACCAGACTTGGAGGAAACCCTTTTAACCCTCCCATTTTCTTCTACAAAGCTGGAAAAGCTGCAGTTGGGAGGGACCCTCAGATAGCTCTGGTGGCTCATTCTGTTCCTTTTGGAGTTGACCTATGAATGTGTTGGAAGAAAAAAAAAACCATCAGATTGTCTCCTTTCAGACTGTTTAAATTACAGGAAGAAGCAGCTTTAAGAGAAAGTAAGTTTTGTTTTCTTTCCCTTAATGTTTCCTAGATGTTTTTTTATGTGGTGTTTTGGCTTCTTAAATACAAGAAATTTCTATAAACTTTTTAGTGACTGCATAAGAGAAAACTTATCCTTGGCAGATAAGTATAGATCTTGAAGTTTCTTAGAAACTTTTAAAAAGCCATTTGAGCCAACAGTTATCAAACTTTATGTGCTGAGCTGTTCAGATTTCTCATTTTGATGATATGCATGTGGAAGCAATATAGTGTCCAGCTAGCTCTGTGGAGCTGCCTCCTGAGTTCTGAAAATAGTCTTTATTCAGGAGGCATAGTTTCAGTGTCATAAAGGGGTGGCGGGTTTTATTTGACTTAACTTATTTGAATGACTAATTTTATCACTGAGGTTTATGGTGGATTTATGTATCCAGAGCACACTTAGAAGTCTTCTACATATTTTAAGTGCGATTCCTATTTTCAAGAAAAATCTGCCTACTTTTCAGTAGCAGGGATAGAGACAATTTCTAATTTTAGGTGTTCTAAGATTAAATTAAAATGTCTGTGTGTCTAGCCCACACATATATAATATGCTTCATGTATCTAAAGCATTGCTTCCTGGAACTGAGATAGCGTTACTTAAGCAAAAGCATGTATCTCATGTTTATGCTTCCTCCTTCACTGTTTTAATTAGACCCTCTTTTGTGTCTATCAGCCATTTGAAAACCAAATGCAACTTCGCAGTTAACAATTTGGGTTTCAGGACTGTGAAAACTATTTTTAAAAAGTCATTAATAAAATGCATAATTCTCATAAGTAAAATGTGTAAGAAAACCCTCAAGTAATTTTAGCCTTCATTTCACATCCATACTATGGCATTCTAGCATTTTTATTAGCCAAGAATATGGATTAAAATACAACACAAATATTGTGAACATATGTCATACAAGAGATTTCTTAGCATATTTATTGTGATTTATGCCTAAATCCATAATCCAAATTGCTTGATGGGGAAGGTAAACTCTGATGTCTATTTTCTACGCTTGTTCTATTTATTCCCACATGTTATCATTAGTTGCCAATTCTGGGGCCGTTCTACCTAAACAAGAGCAGCAGACTTGTGTTTTAATGTAGCATCACCTCACTGACAAGTTTACTTCTTATTTTTATTATACTTGCCAACAACATTTTGAGTAACAATGGATTAATGTGGGTTCCTTAGGCAAGCCTAATAACTTTCTACTATATAACATTGAAAATAAATGGTTTTCTGGAATACGTTAGAGAAACCTTGATTTGTTTTTTGTTTTCAATCTAGGAAATGTGATCTCTTTAGAATTGAAAACCAGATACTTGGGTTCAGATGGGAAGCTCTGAGTCAGATGTCAGTTAAACAATCTTATATTTCCATGTTCTTGTAAATTGTCTTTTTTCCTGTCCTATTGTCATCATTTTTCTTTACCTTTTGGTACCCTCAGAGGGCTGGAGGAGAGGAAGAGGAAAGGGGGGGAGGGAGAGAACCTCTTTCTGCCATAATACCTTGAATCCCTCCAAAATGATCAGCTTGAGCATTTTATCTATCCTACGTCTTTGGGATTATAGATCTCCATAATATAATAGGATCAATTGACCCTCTTCTCAGAAAAACCCATTGCAAATAGGTATTTCATTGACATTTCTGGGATTGAGATACTCCTGAAATCTGTCCTTGAGTGTCCTCTGCAGTCCTTATCATGAACCACTATTCTCCATGAAGCCATACAACTCAGCTTCAAACACATCCTGGGGCAGTGGGTTCACCAACTTGTCAAAAGGATCGGGGAGGAAGTATGCCTAAACTGTTTCTCTATACTTCCCTCACCTGAGGACAGGTAAGGTTTAGGCAAGAATTATAGCTGAAGATGAAGTTCAGAGGTTAACTTTCAAAGCAGGTCCTTATTTAATTTATGGTCACCCTTGTTCTGGGCACATCATGGGAAGAACAATGGAAGATTCAAGTAGCACAACAGTTTCTTTTGTGGAAACAAGGCTTAGGATGGAAGGTGAGAGTGTTGAGCCTCTCAAGATCCCAGAAAGTAGAAAGAATGGCTGCAGGAACCTCCCTGTTTCTCTGGCCATCCTCCCGAATCCCTGTGCCCACCGAGCAGTGGATTGGAAGACAAAAGGGAAAAATCTAAACTAATGCCCATTATCTTATGCCCTCCACTTCAGGGGTCACAGTCTCTCATTTTCCCCCCTTCTGTATTGTCCCCTTCCATCAGCAGTTCACCATGTTCAAAATTTCCTATCTTGAAAAATGTCTCCATTATTGAGCTTCTCCAGTGACCCTCATTCCTCAGCATCACAGAGGAATCTCTTGAAGAACCTCCACTTCCTCCGCCCATACTTCTCAATCTGCTGCACTCTGGCTTTGGTCCTCATCAGTTTTCCCTCTGTGCTCATTGAGGATATCAATTACTAGTGCATTGCTAAGTCCAACAGCCATTTCTTATTCTCCATCCACTTGGTGTCTCAAAAGCATTTTACCCTATTCTCTACTTTCCCCATCTTGAAACACCCTTTACCCAGGATTTCCATGATAACCAACTCCCAGGTTTCCTCCACCTCTTGGACCACTATTCTCAGTCTGTTTTGCAGAGTCCCTTTCTCCCCCACTTTCTAGACTCCCTTTCTCTTTCTTGGCAATTGCATTGCTTCACTTATCATCATTCCATATGCTTATGAATACAAAAAATTTTTATCTCTATTTTTTCTGAGCTACAGATATAATTCTGCTGAGTACAGGACTGCCCAGAGCAGGCTTGGACCCCAGTGAATTTGATGAGGAAGGGTGTGTGTGTGTGTGTGTGTGTGTGTGTGTGTGTGTAGGGAGGGGGAGTGACACATCAGAGACAAGCCAGGAAAATGTTCTTATTGATTTCAGAGAGAAAGGGAGAGAGATAAAAACATCAATGATGAGAGAGAATTTGATCAGCTGCCTCCTGCATGTCCTACACTGGGTATTGACCTCACACTGGAATCAAGCCCACAACCCAGGCATATGCCCTGACTGGGAATCAAACCGTGACCTTCTGGTTTATAGGTCAACACTCAAGCGCTGAGCTACCCTGCCGTGGCCAGGTAAAATTTTTGACATGGGATTTGCCATAGGACTCCTTCCAAAATGCCCACGTAACTTATATGGTTTCTCTGCCCCATCTCTAATTCCCAGCTGATCAACTCTACTTGGCTGTTTCTCTTCTTAAATGTTATCTTTTTTAAAATATAAAAGTAATTGTATTATTTCCCTCTCCTATTTCCACCCTGCTTCTTTCAAGTATATTCTTGTATAGTAAATGACACCACGATGCAACCAGAAACTTAAGAAGAATAACTCTTCTCCTTCAATCATATATCCAAAAAAATGTCTAAGTTTTGTGGTCACCCTTGTACATTCACCTACTTCTCTCCTTTGTCACTGCTACCACGCTATTTCGGGCTGCCATCTCCCTTTATTTGTCTTTTCACTGGCCTCCCTGCATCCAGAATTACTGCCCTCTTCTGCCTTCCGGGTATTGAAGCCAGGGTCTAAAAACAGTTGATTTTTGCCGAAACCGGTTTGGCTCAATGGATAGAGCATTGGCTTGGGGACTGAAGGGTCCCGGGTTCAATTCCAGTCAAGGGCATGTACCTTGGTTGCTGGCATATCCCCAGGAGGGGGTGGGCAAGAGGCAGCTGATTGATGACTCTCTATGGGTGTTTCTAACTCTCTATCTCTCTCCCTTCCTCTCTGTAAAAAATCAATAAAATATATTTAAAATAAATAAATAAAAACACTTGATTTTGCCAACCTCTTACTTCAAACCTTTCCCTGACTCTCCACAGGCCTTTCGATAATAACCAGATTCCTTCTCCAGGTTAAGAAGTAGCACAGTGACTTATAGCCCATCTCTTCTACCTTGAAGGTGCTCAGGAACCAGCTCTGGGTCTTTGTAAAAATGCAGATTCTGGTTCTGTAGTTCTGGCTTGGGCTGCGCCTGTGTTTTTAAATTTTAATAAGCTTTCAGACGATGCTGATAATAGTGGACACGGACCATACTTTTTATGCCAAATCGGCTGAAGCTCAGATTTCAATTGTGTCACTCACTAGGTCTGGGAACTTAGAAAGATCACTAGCCTCTGTGTTTAGTTTTCCTTGTATATAAAGTGATCACAATTGTGTACCTTCTTCTTAGGTTTGTTTTGAAAAATAAACATGTTACATTAAAAGTAGAGACCTGGTGCATGAAATTCGTGCATCGGGGAGGGGGATGTCCCTCAGCCCAGCCTGTACCTACTCCAATCTGGGATTCCTCTCACAATTAGGACTGCTGGCTCTCAATGCTCGCCTGCCTGCCTACCTGCCTGATTGCCCCTAAGTGCTTCTGCCTGCCAGTGTGATCACCCCAAACTACACCCCTGCTGGCCTGCCTCCCTCCCCCCCCCCCCCCCGCTCAACTGCGCTCCTCTTCAGGCCTCATTGCCCACAACTTCCCTCCCCTGCCAGCCATTGTGTCCACATGGGGGCAGCCATCTTTGACCACATGGGGGTGGCCATGTTGTGTGTTGGAGTGATGGTCAATTTGCATATTACTTTTATTAGTTTTATTAGATAGGATACATGCAACAGAATAAGTGTTAAGTGCTAAGTATTATTACTAGTTAAAATCTTGAGTAATTTAGCCTCTATATTCTTCTCTAAGCCACACACATATACAGTCTACTAATTAATAGAAATAAATGAATGTCATTATCAAAAATCCACCTGGGAAACCGATACATGAAATTCAAAAATCTTATAAACTATAACCTAAAGAAAAAATAGATAAGTTAAATTCCTAAAAGCATTTAAAACAAGAATCAATGGCTATTTTGATCAACATATTTAGAATCTTGTCTTGTTTTATTAACCAAGAGCTTAGACATGATGCTGTTCATTCCTTCATTGTAAACTACAGAGCTAGCACAATCAGAGTCATTTAACATCATGGTTAATAAAAGC